AGTCAAAATGATGGCAAAATACACAGCCCTTGAAACTCCAGCAGGTATATAAATCCAAATTCTCCAACATTTACAAATAGATTATAAGGTTGGCAGATTATCTATGCCAAAGATGTGGAGACCTCTGAGCTTGCTCCCTTGGAGCTTAACAGGCTTCATTAGACACAGGGACATCTAACACAAGATGGCAAAAACACAGGAAAGCATTTCTACTTATCTCTAAGACAACTTCTTCTCACTGCCCTCATAAACCAGCAGCTCTGCTCTGCCCCCTTGTCGAGAGTGGAGCAGAGAAGGCCATGGAGGGAATTCAGGCTGCCAGCCACTCCCCACCTTCACTGAGACAAAGGGCTGCTCTGCAGGCACGCACCGGGCCAGCACAGAAGAGTAACAAGGCAAAAGTCAGTTTCGGGGGGAAGACGGTTTAGAATCAAGATACTACACCCATAGGGGTGGAGCATTAGTCTAGTCATTTGTGCAGAACGGGTAACAAACTGGTAAACACTGCAGAACTAACACCGAACGCCAGGTCACAATCCATCACTTGAAAGAAAATCCACAGCCAATCAAATCCTAGACAAAAAACATCACCACCGAAGAACCTGGGCAGGGCTGCTCCGATGCCCCTGATTCACTCTGCCGGTCCAGCCTGTGTGACCGTAGCCCCAGCTCAGCACCAAAAGAGCGCTGGGCTGACTCTGTGCGGAGCTACCGCCATCTGCCCACACCGCACTCTCGCGTTCTCTAACACCAGCAACCCCACAGCTTTGGTGTGTGCCACACTACTTGAACTCCAGGACAAGCAGTCATTTAGAGTAATTTTAAGAAAACGTGATGCATTTGCAGAAATTTTTAACCACCATGAAGACTGGGGTTTTTTTTAAATCCACTTTTAACCAATACATTCATTTTTAAAGCTTGAAAGAATTTAGTCTTCCTTCACAGTTAACCAAATCTCTGCAGATAGAGAGCACGGAAAGATATTACCCTTTTTGGTAGCGGGACAGGGGAAAAAAAAAAAAAAAGAAAAAAAAAAAGATGTCTTTGTGATTTAGAAACTAACGGCTTGTTCATTCATTCACTCCCCTGTTAAATTCCTGAAGATTTTCTACGTACATATTGCCTAATTTAAGTTTCAAACAATCAGCTGAGATTACAGAGATTCGTTCAGCTACCAAAGCATGCTCATAATCTCTGACTGAGGTAAAGAGCAGCATTGCTCCCACCAGTTCTCTACAAAAAGCTGAAACATACACATCCAACCTGTGTGGGCCATGCGTACACAGCACTAGAGAGATGTATGACACCATTTCTTTATGGCAGTTCCCACATTTCTAAAAAGGAATGTGATAACCCAGAAAAATAAAACACACGACTTCTGCCCCTCAAAAACCTGGGACTAGTATCAACAGAACTTAAACGTAAATGAGAAATAAATGCAATACAGCACAGGCCTGATTCTGTCAGTGAGACAAGAAGGAGTTCACATGCGTTCAAAGATAAAAAAATATTGCATACTCTGAACGGCTGCAGGATTTTTCTCTGTTAATAAGAACAATTCATTACGGCCTCTTAACTTTTGTTAACCACTACAGCATGAATGAGCATTACATTCTTATTCCATAAGATTTTCAGTAAAATAATGACTTCATTATATTTTATAATATATAAAGAAGCCTTAAAAATGACTATAAGTTTTTACTGTTTATTTCCCTCACTCATGTATCAGAAATACCAAGTCCAGTGTTCTTCAGTTACAAAGGATGCCAGTAAAAATTTCAGGGTATGGTTGCTTATGTCTCTCCACAAATGATGAAAAGCAGCTGTGTTAAACTTAAACCCCCTCCTTTATCAGAGCCATTATACACTAAAGTTATAGATATTAATTCTTTGAACCATGCAAAAAATACTGCTCTCCCCCTAACAACAGCTGAGATTTCATTTGTTTGATCCTGAGTCATCACTAGGCCCAGAGAGTCTTAATGTTTCAAAGCTCTAAGTCTTTACTTTTCCACAGAAAAGAAGAAAAAAACCACAAACCATTCCCTTGAAAAGCCTCTTTATCTTTGATAAAAATGGCTATAACACTATTAAAGAAAGAACAGTAGTAACATTTTTCATCAATCCTGATCGAAGAATTTTAACAATTCTTACAAAGGAACAGAGGTCAGTACAGCTGTACAGCCTGCCTTTGCCCCTTCCCTAAGACAGTCAGACATCCATGACTCTGGTCAATATTAGGGACACAAAGATGTTCCTGTTGCAAAGAAAAAAAGAGTCTTGTACATAAGAAATACCTGGTTTGCGCACAAAAAAAATCGTGTTACTGGGGTCGGAAGAATGAGCAAAACCACAGCACAAAGCAACAGACAGAAAAGTATGTTTACCTTACTGATTGGGTGGCAGATTAACACAAAATCAGAAAAGGTGGGAGGAGGGATGAAAAGGTTGTTATGAGCTGGTTGTTACCAACTGCTACGAGCACAAGATTTTGCCACAAATTCACTACCACAGCTTTCACCCTAAAAGCCCTCTACAAGCAACTGAGAAGTTTCCCGTGCTACCTGTTCCAAGTACTCCCTTCTCAGTAGAAACGCTTACACTAAGTTACACTTGTAACTGGTAGTTACGTATCCCAAAATAAGCAAAATCGGGATTTTTTCTTATCCCCCCAAATATACAGTTTAATACATATCCTGTAAGTATTGCTATCACTTGTTAAAAAAATAACACTTCTTACATTTAAGAACCAAAGAAAATTGTTTGAAGTTTCACAGAAAAAAAAGCCTACAGATGTATCATTACTTACAAGGCAGTTATCACAAATGCTACTTGCTTTTCTTTTTTGTGGTTGTTCATTCTGTTTCACAAAGAGGTTTAAAATTATTACATCTCAAACGAAAGCCTACAAAAACATACTGAAAGATACAACAAGCTTAAAAAGAATTTTCTTGGTTTCATAATCTTTTCTTGTTTCTCTTTTATGAAGAGTTGAGAAATTAAAATTAGCATTTGAAAGTATTTAAAAGATTGTTTAAACTTCTCGTTTAGGTGTCGGATTCCACAGGTGCGATTTCTCATTAACTACACCGAAACCTTCCCGAAATCAACCTCGCTAGGCAACATCATAAAGCAAAACAGTAAAAAAAAAAGAAGATTCTCTTAGATAAACAATCAAATAAAAGATAGAACACGAGACGGGCATGGAAAGAACACATTGCACATCTGTTCTCTTACCTTACATGTTGAGGGTATCTAGATTCTATAACTTCCGTTTAAGAACCTTAACTCACACCATTTCACTGTGGTCAACTCCTCTACCATTATCGTAGTCATATTATAACTCATTATACTGACATAACTCATGTTAGAGGTCTTAAAACGCACTGCTGAGAACACTCAAGCACCGAGATGAAGTGACAGGATTTCATTTTGCAATAAAGCTAATAATTCTTGAAATAGAAAACAAAATTTTAGTGGCACACTACTTTGCAAGCAGTTCAAGGGAAGCAAGGCACACAAGCTACTACAGCAAAACACTTTTTTTTCACAGAACTGCAATTTAAGTTGATTTATAACAATGTAAGCTTTAGGGAAACATCTGGTTTTATACCGATTCTGGCTTCCAGCAGACCAAAACTCTTTATTTGGGGCTAATTCACAAAAATGAATATGTTATCAGTCAGTTTGGTGACTAGTATCTATACAGAGTATCTAAAGATGCACTTTGAATTGAACCAAATGAAGTGCAATTTCTTACTTGACAAATTTTGCAGGTATGTATGGCATCCCTCAAGACCTTAACACTCAAATAGAAAACTAAGATAGTATCTCAATTTCTAATTCTCCCCCAAGTAAATGAAAAAATAGATAAAATATTTTCTAACAGGCACTAAATCTTCAAAATTATTACTGAAGTATCTTTAATATAAAAGGCAGCAGCACTAAACAACAACAACAAAGTCCAGAAAACCTACACATTCACTAAATTGACCAAAACAAATTTGGAACCTCACTGCCTAAAGCAAACACATGGCTCAAGTCTTCTTGCATTCAAAGCTTCTCCTGCTTAATTAATTTAACTTTCCTTATAAACATATGGGAAGATATGATTCTGTGTTAATTCTAAGTGTTCAGCATTTTGTATCTCAACGCAGAATAAATATCTTCATGCTTACAGCTTCTGTAAAATAAATTTACCAGTAATAATAGAAATGACAGCTTCAGGAGATGAAGAAAACGCACTCAAAGTGGTGTTACCACCCATTCCAGATAGCAGTTTCTGAAATACTTAAAAAGCTTTTTAACTTACAGGCCTCTAAGAAACATAAGAAAGAGAAGACACTAAACCAAAAAAAGTTTTATTTTGCACTGCAATATAGGTTCATGCCATCTCTGTGCACGGTAAGAATGCTAATTATTTTCAAACACTCTGTTCTGAATTTTTGCTGACTTTTTCTAGTCAACACTTACGCACGCAGAAATCTGGTGATATAATTTTAAAAATAAAATTGGCAGAGTAGACAAAAAAAATTATCCATCTACCAGGCAACTTCTTTTAAAGTTTACTTATATTTATCAGTGACAATGCTTAAGTATTAACTAGAGAGACAATCTTTCTTACTTTACAGTCCAAGACTGTTAATACTGAACAACACTTACACCCCAGGTGCCTCCCAAATACAGACTATCTATCAGTTGCACAAAAGTACACTAGACAACACTTACCTATTTATTGTATTTTGTTGCTAGTTCTAGTTGTTAATAGAGAGTCATGACCCCATTTAGTTCCTTGAATAACTCAAGACACATTTGGATTATCACATAAGTAGTGACTTTAAAAAAAAAGCCACAAAGTCAAATGATTTTTTCCATGACATTAGACTAAAATTCTGCAGAACAATGACATTTTATATTCTGTACCACGACTCAAATTTGAAGACATTATTTATTAGCATGGTAGACCTAATTACAATTAATACACAATGCATCAAAATTACCATTCTGTAATCCCATCCACAGTTGCTTATGATCCTTTTTTTGCATCTCATTGATGACTTGACTTTTGTGCTTTAAAGCATCTGCTTCTTTTATACAAGCCATAAAATGAGCTTCAATCACATCCTTAGAATGGCAATGTAGGAGATCCTTTTCTGGAAAATTCTACAAGGATAAAAGATAGATCAATAGAAATAAATGCATCACATACCTTAGGAAAAAAAAAGACTAAATGATATTTTTTTATTTATACAAAAAATATATACAAAATACACAAAAATTTTTTTTTTCTTTATACAAAAGAAGCACACTAAATTCTACTTATGGAAGAAGGTAACACAACCATTCAGTCTGCTGACAAGAAAGGTTTTGCAGTAAAATAGCTTCAGGAAAAAGTTGAGCAGTTCTCTGTAAAAACAAATAGCACTCTAAATCACCCAACCTCAACTTGATAAATATATTTACATACATCAGTGGATGTATTTAGGCCCTTAAATCCACAGTTTAGGATGTAAGTTTAGCACATGTTCAATTCTCTGCCATGAACAGGAGAAAAAGAGGCAGAAGAGACAAGCACCCAATTCCTGCAGACAGTTTAGCACCCATTTCTATGCAGGCCTTTGAAAAAATATTTCCTCCAAGTATAATCATGCACATATACAAACTATAGCATACACACCACTCGCAAATGCTTTTCCTTAGAGGAACCACTGTCAGCTCCAATTTTAACTAACATATATACCTATTGCTAGCCCCTGTGACTTGATCCTGTACCCCTCGTACTTGGTTAGAGCTGGAATGCCGCACTCAGCATTGCAGATGCACAGTTACTAATCCTGAAGTAACTTTTATCACCTCAGGAAATGACAACTATCTTTCCCAATTAATTTATTATGGAATTCCAGTAGCAAATCTCATTCAGGTACAAAAAAAAAAAAAAAAGATTTCTTTGACATCAACTAATCAGAAGTTCAGCATTGTACTGGTATACAGTTAGGGTTGCTCCTCCTCTAATTTTCCTTTTACCAACACTTGTATCACTTGCCAGTTTACAATAATACAAACATTCATTATCACAAATTCATGTCTTTAGTTTTCAAAGGTTTAAAAACTCAGCAGGTTTTATCTCCTTATTCATCTTTTCCCAGCTGCTTATGATAAAGCTAGACTGTGCAAACCCTCAGAACCAAAAAAGTGACATTATTAGTACTCCCCTTCATAGCAAGAGCTTGCCGTGTGCTTTTCTACTTAACTCTCATCTGTTATTCCACAAGAGAACCTTTCCTCTTAACCCATTACAAACTGGTTATGTAAAAAAGCCTCTGTTAGGGAATTGTCAAAATAATTTTGGAAATATAATGAGATATCTTTCAAAGGCTTTTACAATATAGTTACCATGTCACCGTAGAAACAATATAATGCTGGAAAAACCCATACCTTCCCTCTTCCACATAAACCAAGGTAAAATAGTGAAAACTGCTTCAAACTACAGGAACTCAAAATGCCCAAGAATCATTAATAGTTGGCAATATGAAAGGGAGCTGGGGGTGCCTTACCTGAAGGAAATTTTGAGGGTAAGAATGACAGTTCCCTCCTCATTAGGTTATTGAAAAGAGCTGGAAATTAAATAATGGCATTTCACAACGTTTCCTCCTTATGACAGTGAACCCAGATTCTGAAAACTGTCAAGCAAAAGGATGAGTATCTTCCAAAACCAGGAGCATAAAAGGAAGAGAAGACTGCTAATGTCTTTTCCATTGAAGTATACAGTTTGGTGTTGAACTCACAAAGGGAGTGCTATTATTACTTAGGACTGATGTATGTGAAGCTGACTAGAAATCCAAGAAGAGATAAAGCTCGTTTCTCCTATGCAGATGGCCAAGTAAAAAGAAGTTAAAGAGGCCAGAACAGAAAGTTCTCTTTCTAGGGCAGACCTCGCTCCTTTTATCCCCTACAATGCTGAGCATCTCAGCACAACTGGGCCCAACATGAATAGAAAACATTACTGGGATTGTTACTTGTCAGCTGACATCTGTATAGGCCTGTAAAATACTTTCAGAAGTTTAACTTACTTGTTCAAATAAAAAAAAAAAAAAGAAAAAGAGGTAAAGTCTGGTTACCAATCCAGATGAAAAGAACAGTCAGAAATAGCATACTTCAAGAGTAAAAAGCTCTTTACGTGTAAGAATTCAAAGTGACACTGGCATCCCTCAAAACAAGATGCAACAGTGGAAGGTGTCTAATGCTGAGTAATATAGGAACCTAGAAACTGACTTGCACAGTTAAAAGCTGAAATTTTAGCTAAGTTTTCGAAAACAACAGTTTTGTTAGGATAACTGTTTTGTTACCCATATGTCTAAATATTGAACTGCACGGTCTTTTTTTGGACATTCCTATCTTTGTACAGGTAGGCATCTCCCTGCTGACTTTCTTCCAATGGATTTCAAACTACAAGGCATGTCGCCCCCTAGGGATGTGTACATGGTGTGGTCTGAAGAATGGCAAGGAGATATTTAGAACTCGTCAAAGCTAGCTAAGCTAGTGGAAAGAATTTAGCCACAGTAGTACAAAGGTGAGGCATAATTAATTCTCCCAGCTTCTAAGGGCTAACACTCTGGAAGACTGGAAAACACTCTTTACAATCTCAGTGCTGTCTACTCTTTAGAAGAAAAACACTGACATGCAGTACTGTGAGCAGAAGCTGAAAAACCTGAACATGAAAGTAATAACTCAGAAAACAACGCTGCTGCATCTACAAGAAGCAAATGAAACAGTTTCACCTACATGAGAATACCAACAGAAAAAATGGCATCCCCACAGATTTATAAACTAGGGCACAAAATAATAAGGTTTATAGTTATATAGAACACGTATGCTTACTTTTATTAGCCTTCTTGCTAGTTGAGGAACGAGTGACCAAATGTAAATAACTTTTATTCAGCTCCCTGAAGAGAGAATGGTAAACAAGCTACACCCCTGGCTATACAACTACAAGATTTGCAGGAAGTTTTAACAGATCCCATAAGCAGCTTGAATTCAAGTACTTTTACTGGTGGTCTTACTCCCTCCATATTTTATATCTTTGAAAGAAAAGTTATTAAGGGTTGATTCTGATTTTCCTAGAAAACTCAAGTAGCACTAGTTTTGTTTCTCATACCAGTAGACACAACCTTGGTGATAAAGAAGTAGGTATCGTGTACAGACAGGAACACTAAATGACCTCTCACATAAAACTGTTCCAAAAACATCATAGGTCATGTCAACAGTTTGGTTTCATAACTCCATTCCATCCGTATTTATGTATCAGTTCTAGTTTACAAAACGTCTGTTTACACTGTGACAGTCTAGTTGCATTAGGTTACATTTACAGAAGATTATGCCGATCATAGAACATAATCCAGGGGCACAGGGGGCACGCATATATTTGTCTTTAGTTACCATCAGTGGTCTTTTTTCAAAAAAGATTAATTAAAAGAAACCAAAAAACAACAACCCAACTCATTTATACTTCTGGCTTCCACAATGTCTCCTACCAGTTCTACAATTTATCCTCATGCTACGAGGACAAGCACTTCCTTTTCACTCTACTCAGTTTTAGGCTCAGAAAACACAAAATCCAGATGTGGTCTCTCTTTCGCTACGTCAGGTCACGGGTGGAGGGGCAGCCACCAGCAGATAAGGACTTTAACCTTTTCCCTGGCATACCCCAGTTCCTCTCCTACCACAGCGCTGCTGTCTCCAGAGCAGTTCACCACCTCCTCCAATCTCCTGCCCAAAATTTGAAGAGCTGGTTACCACGTTGAGACCACAAACAGTGCTAAGTGTACCACAGGGTAGCACGAGATGACTTTAACAGGAAGGAATCGAGTTTCCTTCCTCCTGGTAAAGCCAGACCTGGATAACAAGAGGAAATTCCCAGGTTATGGCTTCTCACGATTCTCAGTACTCTCTGTTCAAGCTCATCCTCCTATGACTATTTAAGGGAACTGTATTTCAACTTTACTGGAGATAAAAATACATGTTATTTTATTCCATACCAGAAGTACAAAGGAATAAAACTCTTCCTTCAACACAAACAGAAAGTGTGTTTATTATTTGATCTGCATAAGTAACACAGGAAACAATTAGAAGTATTGGTGAACTTTATTTCTGTTCTGCAGAAGCTTGAAACTTTTTCCAGTTTTTAACTTTAAACAAAGTGATGGGGGGGAAGTTTAAAAACATTCTTTACAGATGTTTGAGATATCTGTTGTTGACTTCATGCTTTCATAAAAGAAAGGAAAAAGTCATGAACAAAAGTCAAACCCTAGAAAAACCTAATGCTGTTTAGTTAAGCCAAATAAAAACAATGGCTCTTTGAAGAACAACTAAACACAAATGAAAAGAATAATTCAGGTAGTAATCCCACACCTAAACTATTTAGCTATAAGAAAAAAACACATGAAGGTTCCTTCCAACCCACACCATTCTATGATTCTATGAAAATGTCTTTAATATTTTGAGATATTTTGATATATTTCAGTCATGTTTTGACTTCAAGGAATTAGAGGGGTTTATTTAAATAAACTTTCAGATTACATCAAAACAGGAAGAGCAATTAAGCAGGTGCTTAATCCAAGGTGTTCTATTTTCAAAAACTAAATTACATCAGCTTTTAAAATCATACTGCCTTAGCAGTAAATTATTTGTGCTCATCTTTAATGTACACCTTTGAGAAAAACTTATATCAGATGATCTTTTGGCAAGCAGCAACACAAAAACATTAAAGTCAGTTTACATTAGTACATGAAATTGAAAAGCACTGTGGTGCTGCAATTTATTTCTCAAGATGGTTCTGCTTTGGGATGGAAACATCCACATGCTGCCACTGTTAACCTCCCAGAGCTCTCAGAAGGTGTAATGATTAAATCATGATTTATGAAACTAGATGCCATACGGTTTCTTGAAAACACTCTAGAAGTCTCTTCATCCCAGCTCTCTCTGGCATATATCCAACAATAATGGTTTCAAAAACATCTCCAACTTCAGATTAATTCAGGCATTTTAAGAAAATAAATATCATAAGAACACGTTATTTCAGTGCACACTTCCAAAAAGAATCAAGACTATTCCAGCTAGCAAGACCTTTTCTAAAAAACCTTCAAGAGAAGAGTTATTTGAATGAAAACATTCAACACAACTGCTTCCCAGTATGCTTTCAACTTAATCTCAAATCTCACACTCTAAAGTGAAGTCTAGTAACCTAGCATTTTCCTTTGGATTAGTTTTCCTCTTGCATTTCTTTCACATTGGAGAAATTAAAGTTTCCAAGTTAAACACCATGATTTCTAGTTGTGATTTTGCCTTCGGAAAATACCCAGAATTATCATTTCAATGCTTTTCAGAGTATGAAAGGATCCTGCACCAAAGCTAACCCTGTGCAAGTACTCTTCTGAGCAAAGATCAGTAGTGCTATGAAGTCCTACCCAATGGTTTTACAACATGTAATCCAAATAATGTTTCTCCTGTGACTAAGCTGTCACAAGACCAAACTCATATCACTTAGTTCTTTAAAGTGAACTCATATCAAGTACAGCAGCATTTCCTTACTTCCAAGGATCTCCACAGTGTCTCACATCCATGCCTGTGTGCCTAAAAGGATTAGCACTTCTCAATCTTTCCAATCTTCAGTCAACTCAGGTTGACTGAATTAAAAACATTATATGAAGTTCTTCCCTTATATCCACTCAATTGCACTGTCATAGTCTCATAAGTTATCCTGAAAAACAATTTTTGATTTTAAGATTACAGTAAAATCATTTGCAAAGGAAAGTCATCTGAAACCACATACAATCCCATGGAAAACAACTGTATGTTTACAGAAAACTTAAATGATTCCTGAAGAATGAACATTGTCCCCTTCAAGTCATTCCATTCACTTATTTATAAAGTAATTATGAATCTTTTCCTAGCTTTCAAATTTCATGTAGTGTCATGCTCACTTTTTCATAACTAAAAGTATATCTCAATTTTACCTTGAAATGGACTGTGATGCTCCAAGGCAGGGCTGTATTTGATGCATGGAGATCAAACAGCAAACCAATTGGATAATGCCTAAAAATAAAGAGATATTAAATGAACATAAGAGCTGTGCATTCAATTCTACATGTAACAGTTAACATAGCTGCATTTACATGGAAAAAAAAAAACCTACAGAACTGTTTAACTCCCATGATTAACATTCATTATTTCTTATTCAGGAAAGTTATACAGGCAGGTAGAAATTACTGACAGCTTCTGACAGAATCAAGCCTGGAATTTAAATATTTAATATCTAACCAGTGGTCTTCAGGCTATGGCCACTAAACACTGCTAGTTTTGCAACAGCATAACTGGCCTAAAGCTGCTCCATGAAATCCTTCAAAACAGTATTTTCAGTTAAAAAGCTTGATAATGGTAGAATCATAGAATGGCCTAGGCTGGAAGGGATCTTAGAGACCATTTTAATCCAGCCTCCCTGCCGCCAGGGACGCCACCTCTCGACTAGATCAGGCAACACATGGGTACCAAACCGGAAATGAACCCACCACCTTGGCGTTGTCAGCGCCATGCTCAACAGACTGAGCTAACCAGCTCCCTAGAAATAGCTGGTCTGACTGAAAACGATACATGCTTGCAGATATTTAAACACCATTGGATTATAGTGCGTTGACCCTTAACATCTCTTGCCTCTCCTGCCTGCTTGATGTCTTTGTGGAAAATAAGTGAAAAAATGACATATCTGTACAAGGGCTGAAAGAGGATAGATCCAGATGAACTTGATATCTTTAGTATCAAATTAGGAAGAATGGAAGAGAAGAAGAAAAGATTAATTGGAGTTTTGTATTTCAGCGATATTCTGGATTAAAGAAGTTACACAAAGAAGCTGCTCCCTCCAAATACTCACTTCTCTTTTATAGCTTTGTGTCCTTTAAATGCATGAGAAGATACATCCTCCAGCAATGTAAGGAACATCTATCACATACACAAAATTCCCACAGGCACTCTAAAACGGCCTTTCTGCAATCTTCTCACAAGCAGACACTGGCAAGATTTTTTGATAAAAATTTTTTTTTTCATGCAGTATACCAAGCTCCATTCCCTTATCTTTTAAAAATCTTAACTGAAAGAGCCTTCCTAACTTTTCACCCTGCAAAGAGAAAAACACACACTTAACTGTGAACTCAGTAGCTTCACTGAACTCAGTGGGGCTAATCACAGGATGCAGAGCCAAGCACGTACTTAAGTTTTGAAAGTCGAGAGAGCAAATGCTCTAAAAGTACCTCTGTCAAGCCGATTTCCTGACCTGCTAAAACTCTTAACATGACAGTGCTTTAGCACCCTCTACGGGTGAGCTAACTCCAAAGCCTAGACAAAGTCAGAACGGCACTACAATTCTTGAACTTGCCTATTGCGTTTGCAACTTCCTAAAAGAAAGAGGGGGAAATAGGAAGAAAGTATCTATAATTATGAATATATTAAGAATATAGATAATGCATATCCAGATTTATCCCAATTCAGTGCTAATGCTCAAGTTTTTACCGATAGGGCTTTTTACTACTAACTGCCAAACGTATTTTGAATACTTCAACAGGGATTCAGCAAGAGTTCTGTGAAAGAGTGATTTTCCAGGTGAGCTAAGTAACAAAAATCAGATTGCCTTTGATAATTAGATGAGCACAAACAATGACTTTACTCTCAATTTATAAAAGAAAATAGCTAGCTAAAAAAACAAAGACAAGACATCTTGGCCCACTTCTGTATTTTCTATCCAGTTGGGATAATGAACTTTCTTCAGTACAATCCTCACATTTAGCACAGCTGATAGATGATTTTTATTTTAAAAGAGGCCAGTCCTAAATTTTGTTCCATAGCTCATGAGATTAATGAAGACAGTAGACCATGGGTGAAATCATTTTCTATTCACAAGCACAACCTTCCATTAAGAGTAAAATTCACTCCAGGAGCAAAGCAATTCTGAGACATAGTCTGGCTTCAAACGCCAGTTCTCACACACCAGCATTTAATCTGAAGCCAACAGAAGCCTGAAGGAATGCCTGTACAAAATGTTGTGTTTCTCTCATTCTGAGACAGTTCAAGCATTTTTTTAAGAGTCTGGAAACAACAGCACTCCATATAACAATATTAAAGCCTTTCTTTATATTTCCCTTAAAATAAAACCCGTTCTCTTAACCAGGATACAGAATTAAGGGAGGCACAAAAAGAGAAGAAAAGAGGACTTGTTAATCCATATATGGAATAAAAATACCCCAACATTCCCTCACTCCATTCTGTGCTATGAGCCAGTATTCCTTCATTAAAGATCTTGCTTCCACTGGCACTGCTGCAATGCCATTTCTGAACCTCTGTTTGAAAAACAATTAAGGAAATACACAAATGCTTTCTAGAACCAAAAGTAACCAGGAGAATTAAAAAAAAACAAAAATTTCAAAAACCTAAGAGAGCCTTTAAAGCTTTTCCCCCCTCAAAAGAAGACAGAAAAGGAACAGAACAGCTAGGGGAAACATTCAGCGCACAAAGGTGTAGTTTTGAGAAAATATTACTGGATTGTTGAAATTGAACTGCTCTTAACTAGAGTGGGAACCAAGGATAGGCAGACTTTGCAGAACAACCTTAAGGGAAAAAAATGGGGAAATATCAAAGAGAAAATGTGTATGAGACCACAAGTCTATTTTTACAAGTTGCTAGAATAGTGATTGAGTCTGTAAAGTCTTCAATCTATAGAAGTATAACAATACCTTAACTTCCAGACATTATCCATTTATTATTATATAAAAGCTGGTTTCAGTGTGGGAAAATACCATGTTAAGTACTTCAAACCCTTTTGAAAGTGACAAATGGACAATAAAGAGAATTAATTGATACCTTTCTAACAATTTTTTTCTGAATCCAGGACTGAAAGTGATAACATGACTTGGTACGTTGCTTTCAGACCAGAATCATTTCCTGTAGTAATTCAGTAAAACATGTCACATGAACTGATAAACCCAGGAAAAAAAAAAAATCCTAAGTTCCAGAACTGTCGGTGGTACTAAGCACATCAAGTGGCCAAAATCTGGTGTTTAGGTATTTCTATGAACAAATGTCTCACTGAGGGAAATTTTGCCTGCATCAGGAAATAGTCTTACTTGGCCTTCAGTAAGAAATAATGTTTTCTTAGATCTTTTAAGCAAACACTAGCATTTTCAAAGAATATGTCAGCTACACCTGATCAAATGATGCTTTGACCTTTTGTCTTCCACTGATTCCTAATTTGGAAGGGTCAAGCACCCATCCAATTGGTACTATAGAGACACCTATGCAAGTACCAGGGCTAGAGCACAATTCACAGAAAGGGGACAGAAACTCTGCTGAAGGCCACGTGCAAGTGCTCAGACAGGATAGAAACACGAATGTCATCCCCAAGCATCTGCAGAAGAAACCACCCCTGGCACGTCAGATGCCTTCACTTACACAGAGATTCCGAGAGAGCATGCAGCTTTCCAGGTCTCCAGCTGCCAGGAGAGCTTGGGACCTCTCCTGAGTGCCGGGGCAAGCAGAAGAAATGTCCTTGCCCTGGAGGAGGTGTGTGACAGTGGAGGAGCTGTGTCATCAGGCCAGGGAGCTACAGAAGGTCAGTGGACAGCACAGTGTCAGGGTTGATGGCAGCTCCCCTAAGACCTTGCAGAGAAGAGAGCCTGAAGGCCCAGCTGCACAGAAGGAGGGCCTGCAGTCAGTGGAGTGGTGAATGGACACTCTCAAAATGAGGAAGCTCAGAGTCTTGTGACCTCTGGCAAGAGAAGGCAGGCTCCTTCTTCACCTACAGTCAGTGCCCAGATGGCAGACAAGGGCCTAGATGTTCTGAGGAAGCATCAGAGCAGCCTGAACAGTGCATCCAGGCCAAGAGAAAGCAGCCAGAGTGGTAGAAGGCTCCCTCCTACAGATGATAGAGCCTTCTCTGCTGATCAATTCACTTACTACCTGCAGAGGTTTGCTGCTTGTTCAGCAGTTGCAGACAGACTGGCAAGGTTCATCCTATGCTTGGATGATCAGCCCTTGCTGTTCAACCACATGGGCACAAATTCTAAGTGCTGTGAGGGAACCCTTGAGTGTATCAAGAGCGACTATATACCTCCAAGGGCAAGGCAGCAGCTCCACAGTTTTATCATGAAGGAGAAAGGCTCAGAGAAGCATTAATGCTGGTCCACAACTGCAGGTCAGTAACTACGTTTACAGCCGGTGTGACAACAAGGACACTCTTTGGGGATAAGGGACTGACAAGGGTGAGATGGAACCCACTTAAGTGGGACAAAGATACTTTTGCCTTCATGTTGGCCAGCCTGGTGAGGAGAGCTTTAAACCATAAACAGGTGTGTGAGTAACAACCCAGGGACAAGTAGAAATCAATAGACATGGGTGGAAAACAAGTGGTGGAAGGTGACAGCTACAAGGGAGATCTCAAAATGATAAAAGAGGGTAAAGACAGTGTACCACAAGCGTAGGTACATAAATACACATAGCTTAGTAAATAAGCAGGAGAAACCAGAGCTCCACATGCAGCAATGTAGCTGTGATTGTGTTCAGCTACCTGAGATATGGTGAGACAGCTTGCACAACTGGAATGCTGTTGTGGATGGATGGATGCAAGCTGCTCAGGAAAAACAGGCAGGGCAGATGAGGGAAGAGGGTTGTCTTCCATTTGAGGGAGCAGCTTAGATGTATAAAACTTAAGGGAACAGACAACAGGTTGGTTGAGATCTTGTGGTTCAGGACAGGAGAGACTAGTAAGGGCAACATCATGGTGAGTTTGTTATAGATCATGCAACCCAGGTGAGGAAACAGATAAAAGTCTTCAAAAAACTCAAGAAGTTTCTTTCTGCCTCACAGACCCTGGATCTTGTTAACCTCTGACATCAATTGGAAATGCAACATTGGGGAACACAAGTAGTCAAGATTTCTTGATAAGGGCACTGGATGGACAAGAGCTGACCTGCAGGTGAACCTGCTACTTAGTAACAAGACAAAATAATTCTGAGTGTGATAATCAGTGGCACTTTGGGTATAGCGACTATGAAATGGCAGAGTTCAAGATGCTGGAGAGACTGATAAAGGAGAGTAAGCAGAACACATACTCCTGACTTCACTTGCCACTTCCCCCTGGCGCTCCTGCAGGAACCTGAGTTCAGGGTCAGCCATCTCAGATGCATCACTGGGCAGAGCTTTAGTCCCTCACCTGCAACCAGAGTACGGAACCTAGCCTGTAATTACAGAAGTGCAGGTGGAGAAGGAGCCTTCCTCATGTTGCCAGAAGTCACAGGATCATAAAATCATAGAATGTTAGGAGTTGGAAGGGACCTCTAGAGATCATCTAGTCCACCCTCCCTGTCAGAGCAGGAGCCCCTAGGGCAGCCACACAGGAAGGCGTCCAGATGGGTTTTGAAAGTCTCCAGAGAAGGAGACTCCACAGCCTCTCTGGGCAGCCTGTGCCAGTGCTCTGTCACCCTCACAGTAAAGAAGTTTCTCCTCATGTTGAGGCAGAACTTCCTATATTCTAGCTTACACCCATTATTC